GACTGAAAATACACTGAAAGAAAAAAGCAGCCTGTTCATTAATATAAAAACTTAAAAATCATATCTGCACAGAAGCAAACTTTTGTATTCCTCTGAGGATTAAACACACTTATTAGAGGGCTGACCAAATAGCTCAGCGGATAAAAGGGCCTGTAAGGAGGCACAGGGGCCTGGGGTTCAATCCCTGGGCCTGCTGTGCTGGCCCTGTCCCTAGGGTGTGCTGAGACAGTGATTGAGACTGGGCATGGTGGTGCACACCTGTAATCCCAGCTCTTGGGAGGCTGTAAACAGGCAGATCACTGAAGTCTGATCTAGTAGTAAGACCCTGAACACCCTGTAGACCCTCCCTTAAAATACAATAAATAAATAAATAAATAAATAAATAGACACACTTATTAGTTAGGTAACCAAGGTTTTCCATTTCACTGAGAAAAAGCACACCAAGCTACGCTTATAATTTTGATTCAGTGAAATTAAAAAGGAAAGCCAATTTACGAAACAAGACCTCAGGGACTAACACCATGTTTCAAAATTAGCAACCACACTCAGGCCCAGATAGAAGAAACCAAGTTTAAGACTCTTCCAAAATAAATTCCAATACATGTTTTGATAGCTAGGAGGTACCATTTTCAGACCAGAGAACTTTTAAGGCAGTAAATTCTATGGCTCTCCAACGTGTATTCTGTGGGCAGTTCTGCCACACAAGCCCTGCCCATGTCCCCACCATGTTCAATTCTCTCCCATCATCTTCTCCTAGAAGTAAAGCAGATCAAGAATTAATTCCAAAGAACGCAAGAGTACACTTCCTATACCATTATGTACACACTCACCCCTCAGACTTATGGCTTAAAAATAAATATCCATTAATTCACTAACTTTTCTCTAGTCATCAGTAATTGTGATTTCCTGTTTCCTAACTAGGATCTGGTAATTAATTCCTCAAACTTTTGAGTTATATTTTTATTGAGCTTTTTAATTAACTAATAATTAAGAGCACCAACGCTCAGCCGACTAGAAAGGAAAGGCCCTCAGGAAGTAAGTAGGTCAGCGCCAGAGCACAGAATCTGTAGCTCGGCCTTGGAGGAAGGACCAGTGCCACGAGGGGGCAGCACGACGCCAATGACAGTACATGCTCTCCAGGAGCTCATCTCACTTCTAACAGAGGACTGGGACACAAGTGATACAACTAGGTAGCGAAACTGCAAGAACTACAGCTCGTTTTATGACCTGTTAATTGGCGCTCCCCGATACCCATGTGATTTTAATATGCATTATTGGTGGCTATCCAGTTAGCAACATGGCTAATGTTTCCAGCTTTTCTGGCCATACATACTGCATATCTGACCTAGTCTGCAATCTCACAAAGCCATGTCTGGGGGGGG